ATATCCCCTCTATTATCAATCATCATCATCATCATCATATCGCAAAAACATCACATCTTCCCTGGATCGCTCCAGGCAATCTTCTGGAAAACACAGCAAATGAAATAAAGATATAATATTCCACGCTTATAGCTATGGAGAAAAAACAATAAGCACGCGATGGAAAAAACGGACAATCTTCCAGGCATGTAACGTAGAAAACACATTAACTGTAAGCGTTTGAAAAAATCAGCTTTTTCACGGAACACAGACGCACGCTGACGCACCACGCACGCAGGCAGCACACACCTGAAACGCGCGCGCGGCGCACACAGCAAATACACAGCACACACGACACAACACTAACAACACACACACACACACACACGACACACACACGACACATCCCCCCCAACACACAACACTCCACACTTAACGTCCGTCAGTATATGTTTTCGAGTTCGTTGTGCGTTTGCACGATATCTGTCGGAGACGACGACACGCCAGAGGGCGCCTCGGAAAGAAACTAGAGAGATCCTGCATTCTCGAAAGCGTGTGTGGGTGGGATAAATGAGATAGCCGTATAGCAGCAGCAGCATGTACTTATTGGCAACCAGTGAAGTGCTTGCTATACATTATGTCTCGAGGCACCGCGCCCGAGATCGTTCTATGTTTTCCCTAAGTTGACATCTTATTGTTTTACAACATTTTGGGGGTAGCATTTCATTAGCGCACACGCGCGTGGGTGCGTGCGTGCGTTCGCGTGTGTGTGTGTGGTGCGTGTGTGTGTGTGTGTTGCGCGGCGCGTGTGGTGTGTGTGTGTGTGTGTGTGTGCGCGCGGTCATGGTGTGTGTGTACACGTGAGTGTTTGTTTTTCCTCCCATTACCGCCTCCGCCAACTTTACGCGTGTCACATGTATTGTCCGTGTACACAGGAACCCAGCTAATGTCGTTAGTGTATATATACATAAACATACTATCGTGTGGACATGGCAGCTGGCGTCGTGTAGATGTTGTAATTAACATCTGGGATTTCGCACACGTACAGGTGGAAGCAGATTCTAAAGCGTGTCGACAGCGCCTACACTGGCTAGTGTACGGGGCGGTATAGGTAAGAGATAGAGAGTAGAGAGAGAGAGAGCGAGAGAGTAGAGAGGAGGAGAGAGAGGAAGAAGAAGAGCGAGAGAGGGAAAAAAGGGAGAGACAGAGAAGAGAGAAGGAGAGAGAGAGAGGAAAGAGAGAGAGAGAGGGGGAGCGAGAGAGAGAGAGAGAGAGAGAGAGAGAGAAGAGGGGAAAGAGAGAGAGAGAGAGAGAGAGAGAGATGAGAGAGAGAGAGTGCGAGGAAAGAGAGAAGAGAAGAGAGAGAGAGAAGAGAGAGTGGAGAGAGAGAGAGAGAGTAGAAAGAGAGAGCGGAGAGTAGAGAGAAAGATGCGAGAGAAAGAGAGAGCGAGAGAGAGGAGAGAGGGAGAGAGAGACAGAAGAGAGAGGCAGAGAGAAGAGAGGAGAGAGGAGAGAGAGCGAGGAGATGAGAGAGACGAAGAAGAGAAGAGATAAGCGAGAGAGAGAGACAGAGAAGAGAGAGAGACGAGAGAGAGAGAGAGAGAGATGAGAGAGAGAGAGAGAGATGAGTCCAGTCTAGTTGTGTATTCATTTGCAGTTACGTACATTTTCGATCGTAGTTGTAGTACATTGTTTTTTTCCCCGTATACACTTTTTTGGTCAATCCTACTGCAGGACCTTCGTACATACATGTAAAGCCAGGGATATGACCATGGTCACGGTTGTGGTCAGGACTAGAGCTACTAGATTAACGTTAGGGATATGGTACTAGCCAGGAAAGGGTTATGGCTAGAGTTAAGGTTAGGGTTAGGGTTAGGGTTATGGTTAGGATAAGGGTTAGGATTAGGGTTATGGTTATGGTTAGGATAAGGGTTAGGATTAGGGTTACGGTTATGGTTAGGATAAGGGTTAGGATTAGGGTTACGGTTAGGGTTAGGGTTATGGTTAGGGTTATGGTTATGGTTATGGTTATGGTTAGAATTATGATTAGGGTTAGGGTTAGGGTGAGGATTAGGGTTAGGGTTAGGATTAGGGTTAGGGTTAGGGTGATGGTTAGGGAGAGGGTTAGGGTTAGGATTAGGGTTAGGGATAGGCTGAGGGCTAGGTATGATGTTCAGCGGTTTGCTGCTGATGTTTAATGATCTCTACGTACAATGGTCGTACAGTAGCCTTGATCCCTTTATTATACCCTTATATTACCTTGTTTACCCTCATTATCATTGTGTCTGTGATGATCATTATGTATGTACACCGGTCCTACAGTAGGGCCTCATCTTGTTTGCCCTCTGCGCCTCACTCGCACATTGGGCGCCGTGTGTAGGCCAATGTTTAGTTATCACCCTTTTACCCTCTGTAGTTTCACTGTTTTCTCTGCTGATGGCCTGCATAGATACCACATGTTATTGAAGTTTTGCATTCTCGTTGATCTCGCTATAGCTACCTTTATTGCATCTCGTGCGTTATGGTGTTTGCTCACCTCTGTTTTCGTTTCAGTGCATGTCTATTTAGTTGACATTTCAGCGACATCGACGAACGAAAATGGGACAAAAATCGAACGGAATTTTTTACCCGCGCGCGTGCGCGTTTTTCCCCTCACTAGAGGGCGCCGCCTGTTGACGGTTCTTTAGAGTTCGCGAGTTGTTTTTCGTTTTTTGATGCGAACGATTTGTGTTTTATCGCGAAATTGCCGATGTTAACCCAGATCTCGTTTGTTCTCTTTCTCAACACCGCACCACCGACGCACCTTCTCCATTTGCGAGTCGAAAAATAGAGAAAAATAGAGAGAGAGAGAGAGANGAGAGAGAGAGAGAAAGAGAGAGTGGCACGGCAGTTTCCGCGGCAACGCGCGCGCGTCTGCTACCAAACGAGAGTGACGTCACACGGCATTCTTCGCGTCATCCTTCCAAAAAAATGAGATCGCAAAAAAAATTCGCTCAAGAAAAAAACACACGGGTGAAAAATAAAACGCGCGTCGCGAACGCTGCGCCCTCTACCGAGCGCCACCTGACTCGCGTCGCCGTCGGCTTTTTCAGGCACGAATAACGTCGTCGTCGTCGTCGGCGGCGGCGACGACGACGACGGAGGCGTCTGGCACGACGGACCCGTCGTCGTGCCGATGATGCTCGACTTCACACGAGGCGACCTATTCGCCGCCGCCGCCGACGACCATATTTCGCCTCTGCTGTCGGCGCAGCCCGCCGACGTGACGCAATGAGGTCGCGATGACGTCACGGAGGTCACCGATGTCGGCGTTGTATATTGTATATGCGGGAATTCGCGCGAAGAGAGAGAGCAGAAGAATGAGAATGAGGAGAGAGAGAGAACGACTGAGAGAGCAGAGAGAGAACGGAGAGAGAGGCAGAGAGAGGAGAGAGAAGGGGACGGAACGAGAAAGGAGACGGAGAGAGAGAAGAGAAGAGGAGAGTAGAGAGATGAGAGAGATGACGAGAGATACAGAGCGAGAGGGCGTTTGAGCAGGCCGTTCTCTGCTAACAGCTCTACATCTGATAGGGCGTGTCCTCGCGCCGTGTGTCGGCCAGCTTTAACGCTCAGCCATATTATTACGGAGGTTTAGAGTCGAAAGAGTAAGAGAGCGAAGCGGAGAGTGTGTGTGTAAGAAGGGAGAAGGGGTGAGAGAGAGAGAGACGAGTAGAGAGAGAGAGAGAGCAGAGAGAAGAGGAGAGAGAGAGGAAAGAGAGAGAGTGAGTGAGTCAGTGTGTGAGAGAGAGGCGCGAGGGAGAGAGAGGGAGGAGAGAGAGAGAGAGAGAGAGAGAGAAAAGAAGAGATCGAAGATGGAAGGAGAAGGGGAAAGGAGAGGTAGACAATGAGATAGACAGAGAAAGATATGTAGGGAGGGGAGAGGGTACGTATATATGTGTGTGTACATGCATGCGTGCGTGTACACGAGCGCGTGTGTATATGAATGTTGGTGTGTGTGTGCGTGCGCGCGGCGCTGTAGGTGCGCTGAGAGCTTATGAGGAAGCTGTAAATAGGAGTATAGCATGACGTATATACGTGCTAGTCGTTACTAGATGCAGCGTCTAAATGTGATTAGATCTTCTCTGTTAGCCTAGAGATTCAGTCAGAGAGACACTCACCACGGAGCGTAAAAAACATGGCTTAACCTCTTTATAATATCTGGTAACATCGGATCCGTCCATACATATATACCATATCTATAATACACTCACGTTATATGTATCTCTACATCTATATATTGGCTAAATATAAGAGTCGTACGTACCGCAGCATAAGTCCGAGTTTACGCGTTTGCATTTTTACCGACATACGGAGAACGATCGTAAAACTTCATAGCACACTCACACGCGTTCATTCTTAACTCCGCGCACCACACACACGCAGCGCACGCACGCAGCGCACGCACGCACCGCACACACACATCTACAAGCACGCACGAACAACATCACGCACGCACACATAACATAACACACGCCACGCAAGCAACGCTCATATCACCGCACGCACGCACGACCGCACACACACACACATCACCCACGCATAGCACGCTCACCCACACACCCACACAAACACGTACACACACGCTGCAGGCGCGCACCCACCACACAACGCGTATAGCACCAGGACCTCACCGTTTCAACTTCGCGGAACATTACTCCCACTCTTCCACGACCTTCCCCCGCCGCGCCCACACTTCCTCTCTCACGGACCTTCCCTCCGCCGCGCCAGCACACTTCCTCTCCCACCACCTTCCCCGCCCGCCACACTTCCTCTCCACCACTTTCCCCGCCGGCGCCCCACTACCTCCCACCACCTTCCCCCGTTACTTAACCACCTTCCCCCGCCGCTCTACACTTCCTCTCTCATCGACCTTCCCCGCCGCGCCACACACTTCCTCTCCCCCAACCATCTCCGCCGTTACTAACACCTTCCCCCGTCGCGCCTCACTTCCTCTCCCACCACCTTGCTCGCCGTCTTACTAACGATCTTCCCCGTGCGCGCCCAACATTCCTCTCTCACGTACCTTCTAGCCCTCGACCCGACGCCCCACTTCCTCCTCCCACGATCTTCCCCGTGTTACTAACGACCTTCCCACGCCGCGGCCCCGGGCCACTACATTCCTCTTCCCACCAACCTTCCCCCGTTACTAACGATCTTCCCCCGCCCGCGCCCACACTTCCTCTCCCACCACCTTCCCCCGACCGCGCCGTACACTTCCTCTCCCACCACTCCCCCGTTACTAACACCCTTCGCCCCGCCGCGCCTACACTTCTCTCCCACGGATCTTCACCTCCCCGCGCGCCACACTTCCTCTCCCACCACCTCCCCCGCCGCGCCTTACACTTCCTCTCCCACCACCTTTCCCCCGCTTACTAACTCACCTTTCCCCCGTGCCGCCCACACTTCCTTCCCAACCACCTTTCCCCGTTACTTAACGGATCTTCCCCCGTCGGCGCCCACACTTCCTGACTTCCCACACCTTTCCCGCGCCGCCTACACATTCCTCTCCCAACCACCCTTCCCCGTTCTAACGACTTCCCCCGCCGCCGCCCACACTCCTCTCTCACGTACCTTCCCCGCCGCGGCGCTACCACTTCCTCTCCCACCACCTCCCACGGCCTTACTAACTTGATCCTTCCCCCGCGCGCCATACACTTCCTCTCCACCACCTCTCCGTTCCTACACTTCCCCGTTACTAACGACCTTCCCACGCCGCGCCTACACTTCCTCTCCCACCACCTTCCCCCGTTACTAACGACCTTCCCCCGCCGCGCCTACACTTCCTCTCCCACCACCTTCCCCCGTTACTAACGACCTTCCCCCGCCGCGCCCACACTTCCTCTCCCACCACCTTCCCCCGCCGCGCCTACACTTCCTCTCCGCACATAATCGCTATAATCACCGTCACGAGAAGAGAAGATAAATGTTTCATCGGATCCTTATGACGTCACACCGTCGGCGCGAGCAGGCGCAACATCTCAACACCTCACTCTCTTTCTCTCTCTGTGTCTTTCTTTCTCTCTCTCTCTCTCTCTCTCTCTCTCTCTCTCTCTCTCTCTCT